TTAAATATTGTATATAAAGTGTTTTAGTGACGAACTATAAAGGAAGTATGAAAAATATTATTAAAAATATATTAAGAAAAATAATTAAACTTTATTTAATGTTTGATAGAATATAATTTGGAAAAGAAAAATGAAGATTACCTCTGATTAAAATGATGTCATCAAGCGTGAAGAACGGTGTGGAGACATGGAGACGAAGGAAACCGGAACCGGCAATACCGGAAACGATGTTGCCGGTATCGGTGTTATAATCAAAGAGACAAGGCGGGCGCTGTGCGCATTCCAGTTTGGCTATTCAGGTCTATTCAGGGCTATTCAGGAGTATTCCTGATAATATTCGAGAAATAAATATACTGTAAGAAATATTTTAATAAAAAGTATATCCTAAGAATTTTATAATATTTCTACAACATTGCTGAAACCTTTCGGTGAAATATTGATATTGTATGTCTCTAAAACATCTCTGTAATATTACATTGCAACTTGCAATGTTGCAACGTTTCTGAAATATTACTGGAAGCTTCGGTGCTGTATGGGTTAAGCCAAAAATTGAGTCACAGGTTCATCAACAGATTGAAAAAAAACAAGACATTTATAAATATTATCATGATAGAAATTGCAAACCTAGACATGATCTGAATGTCGGTGAGGATGCAGTCATATATAACAAAACTAATAAGAAATGGGAATCTGCAAAGATTCTAAAAAGACACGTTAGTCCTAGATCGTATGTTCTGAAAAATCAGAATGGTAATATAGTAAGAAGAAATTCAGTGCATTTAAAAAAATCTTACAATAAATTTAAAAGGAGAGATAAACAGGATTTCACAGATGAACTACCAGGTAGAGATTTTAATCGGATCATTAATGTTGAAAATAATCAAGATAGAATTCAAAACCGGGTTGTAAATGATGCACCTGCTGATGAACCTGATCCTCAATTAAGAATTGAAAACAACAATGGTCTTGATGTTAGAGTTACGAGAAGTGGACGTAGAGTTAATAAGCCAGTAAAATTCAAAGATTACTATAGATACTAATGAAAGGTAAAAAAAAATACGCCAAGTATATAAAAAAATCTCAACTTGTACACAAAAAAAGTTTATTATTTATCCCTAAAAAATAACTTTTAAAAAAATTTTTCCTTGAAAAATAATTTTCATACAAAATAAAAAACTAAAAAATGATTTTCCTCTAAAAAATAAAAACCTTTAGAAAATCAAAAATTAAAACTAAATATTAAATCAAGTTAACTAGCCAAGTACATAGAAGCAGTTCAGTTTGTAAGAGTTTGTAATTTAAAATAGTATTTGTTTGATAAAATCAGTCTTGCATTTATAGAAATATTATAGATTCTCTCGAGAAAATTAAAATGCATTTTATTTTTATAAAATTACGCTATTATGTCCCCCCCAAATAAATATTATATATAATATATAAAATAGCACAATTATATTGCGGATTTTATTACAAATAGTACATCATAAAACTACTTAACCCTTACTGTAATAATGTCGATCACATCAATCATCAATTTCGAGTTTAAAAGTGCCCCGTGCTAAACTGATCGACTTGTTTTGAAATTAATCATAAGGTTTACCAGATAGGCCTGAAACAAAAAGGATTAAAAATAAAGTGACATACAAATACAAATAAGTGAATGAATTTATAAGTAAAATTAAATTGAGCTACTTTACACAATATTTTATTGCCAATAAAATTAACGATGCCAATTCTACATAAATAAAACTGTATTATCAACAATAATATATATGTTCAAAAATAATATATATGTGCTTATATTATATTATCTCACAATAATACAGTATAGTTTTATTTATGTAGAATTGGCATCGTTAATTTTATTGGCAATAAAATATTGTGTAAAGTAGCTCAATTTAATTAATATAATATCAATTTAACTACACCTATAAATTCATTCACTTTTGTATTACTGTAATATCATACTTCAATGTAGATCATTCTTCAACTGTATGATGTTACAGTAATAAGTGAATGAATTTATAAGTACAGTTAAATTGAGCTACTTTACACAATATTTTATTGCCAATAAAATTAACGATGCCAATTCTACATAAATAAAACTGTATTATCAACAATAATATATATGTTCAAAAATAATATATATGTGCTTATATTATATTAATATTATTGTTGATAATACAGTTTTATTTATGTAGAATTGGCATTCGTTAATTTTATTTGTAGTATATAATGTTCAACAATAATATATATGTGCTTGCATTATATTATCTCGCAGTAATATAGTACAGTTTTATTTATGTAGAATTGGCATTCGTTAATTTTATTGAATCCTATTTAGTATTGTTATAGTTTGCTCCCATGCACATCATACGTCCAGACTTCACGCAAAAAACATTGCAGGAACATTGCAAAATATTGTTGCAATGTTGTTATGATATTCCAGCAACAATAAAATGTCCGCCTACAGAAATATTGCAATATAATATTGCAGTAACATAGCAATATAATATATATGCAATAATACTTTATGTATATTTATCGACAATAATATCCGCACATATGAAAAAAATAATAAGAAATTAAGCCTATAAGAGTCAGGATCTAGTGTGTATATAGATTTTCTGTATTATAATAACAAAATTATAAAATGTAAATTTTTCGGTGCACATTCGACTTCCTTCAGTGACACAGAAAATATCTAAGAGAAATAAGAAAAAACTGAATTTGCAATTGTGTAAATTTACAATCTCTTTGTATCCGAAATATTCAGATATCGGGTTGCAAAAAGATCGTTGTGGATTTACGCATACAACGAGTTTTTTCACATCTCTCTTGTCTTTATATAATCTCAAAATTTATTTATTAAAATCTGAAGTATTTTGCATATTAGAAAATTATTATCAAATTTTTTATTTTATATAAGAATGGAAACTATTAAAAGAATTTTTAGTCCAATGTCTGAGTCCCCTGTGTTGGGGTCATATCATACAACTTAAACTAATAAAAATATTTATTATATCTTTAATCATACTAGCCGTTCTTTGTAAACTTTATATAATCATCGTGACTAAAAATTAAATGCGGAATAGATAGCGCAACATGCGCCGCATAGCGGTAAACGAATGAACTAGCGATTATCGAATACTTTTTGCTTCCTCATAGAGGAAGCTTTGTTTTCGTGACAAAATTTTTTTTCGAGTT